GGGGGGGCAGTACCCAAGGTTTCCCCTACTACCCCCTTCCTACTCCCCTAGGTTCCCTCTTAATTAACTAGTCTCAATTGACGGTTCTCATATTTGAAAGACCTCAATTAAGCAGGAAGGAGGTGGTTATAATATTGGGTAGGTGTTAGGGAAACTGGCGATACAACTCAAGCCCGATGTAGACCCCAAACTCCTTCAACCCCAAGCCCCCTGAACCCCAAATTCCTTTAACCCTAAACCCTAAGCCCTAAATCCTAAGCCTAAACCCTAAACCCCCTGAACCCTAAACCCGCTAAACCCTAAACCCTAAACCGCAAACTCCTTTAACCCTAAACCCTCTGAACCCTAAACCCACTAAAAACCCTAAACCCGAGTAGTGAACAGCTGCCCCGAGCTCATTTGCGAGGGCCACCATGTCATGGTGATAGTCTGAACTACCTAAAGGGGGTTGTATAGGGGATTATACAGGTGTAGGGTGTATAAGGGACTATATAGTATAGGGTTTAGGATTTAGGGTTTAATGTCTAAACTCCTTCAAGAGGGTTATATAAGGAATTGTATAGGGGGACCAATATAGGGGATATTAAGGGGGATACTGGGAGTTTAGACTCTAATTCATGTCATGCTGATACAGAAGCGCCGTCTCCTTGGTTAAGGCTCAATGTCTCCCAAACCCCTGACCCTAAACTCGAGGCTTTCGGCTTTAAGGGTTTGAGGATACCCTCTGGAAACTTGAAGATAGAAGCCTTGAAAGCATGGCCTTTTTCACTTTTCTCACCAACGTTGATGGGTGTAGGGTTTGGGATGTACTGTTATTGCTATGATTACTACTATTATTACTGTTTTTGTTGTTGTTAAATTCACTACTAGCATTCTTGAGGGGCCCCCGGTTCTAAACCCACCGGGTTGCTGGTGCTGAGCATTGACTTCTTGAGATGGTCGCCTCCGCGGCGACTTGAGTTCAAACAACGCCATAACGCAATTCCTTAATCCTAAACCAACAGACCCTCATAACAATTTAGGGCTTAGAACCGTTCACGCGCATTTAGGTCTGTACGGAATATCTGGTATTGGGGCATGGTTGAGGTTCTTGAAGTCACCTAAGGGTCTAAAAGTCTGTGAACCTTAAACCCTGAACCCTAAATCCTAAGTTACTTAACCCTTCACCCTAAACCCTGAATCCCTAAACCCCTGCATAATGGGGGACAATCCCAATGGCCAGAATGGTCTGGCAGAATCCCGGACGACAGCCAACCCTAAGTCCCAAACTCTATAGGGTTTAGGGTTTGCAGGGTTTAGGGTTGGAGGTTTAGGGTCTAGGGTTTACGGTTTATGGGGTGTGTAAGGTTTAGGGTTTAGGGTGTCTAGGGTTTGGGATTTACGGTTTATACAAGGTAAGCTTTGGGATTTAGGGTGTCTAGGGTTTAGGGTGCAAGGTTTAGGCTTCAAAGCCATAAGCACTGAACTCTACACCGCCATTGACCGGGCAGGTCCTGTTTTGCTGTAGCTCAATCCAGCAAGTCTAAAAGCTGCTCATGAAAAAGCCTAACCAACATCTTACTCCCCGTTGGGGAATGTGGTGCCGCCATAGTTACTCTTAGTTTTCGGGCTATTATCAAAATCATTGGCCCTTTTGGCTATACACTATTTTACGGCACCTAATGTTTAGGGGTACCGAAATGGGACTCTAATTTTGGGAGCTACCCATATGATCAGCATAACCCTAAACCCTGAACCCTAAACTTAGCATCCCCTAGAAATGCCAGACTGACGGTCCTCGCAGTATCCCTGCCCTAAATGGACCACTGTAAGGCTCAAGGCGAGATTGCGCAAATAAACGCCCGAAGGTTGAGGCCGAAGGTTTATAGAGCTCAAGCGTTTTAGGTTTGAGGGTAAAAGGATTTTTTAAGTTTGGTCTTTTTTTGGGATCTTCAGCTTGGCTAAACTCATTTTCTGGGGTGGGATTTTGGGCTGGTTGTCTTGCAGGGGGGTGCATGTGGGTATGCAGAAATAGGGCTTGGGGGACCCCAAGAGGTTGCAAAGATCTCCAATAAAGACTACGTACATGATTGCTACATGGCGGCGCTCTCGGCTTTTTGACGATCCCTCACGGCCAGGATCGAGCTTCTGGATTAGCATGTTACAGTGTGGCGTCAAGTAAAAGCATGAATCTGCGTGGCACTTAGGACCCTTACCAACGGTTAACTTTCTAGGTACTTATTATAGGAATATGAGGGAAAACCAAAGGAGTAAGGGATGAAGGCTAAGTCCCAAGCAGGAAAAATGATAAATATTATCCCGTTACAGTTGTGCAGATGTACAAGCCCTTCTCTGTAGTCCCTACACTACCTCTGCACGGATTGCAAGACTTCACGTATGCAGTTCTTCGAATTCGGAATGCTTTCTTTTGCAAGGGGTTGAGTCCTCTTTTCATGTTCAATTCCCTTTGGAAGTTTCTCAAGGTTCTCCTGATAAACTCTCGTAACTACTCTCTCTCTCTCTCTATATATATACATACATACATATCCGCAGGGCCCCTACGGGTACAGAGATAGCAGCAGGCGTTTGCGCAAAAAACTCCTTGAGAGAAGCCCGCCGAAACGTCACATAGACCA